AGCGGCGTAACTTAAATGCCTGTGAAAAATTCCCTTTGCGGGAATTGGTGGTAGCCACAGCATCCCAAACATCTTGGGTAGTCTCCATAGACAAGTAACCCTTACCAATGTTTGGTACCATCGAATGAATAAGCCAACCCATAATAAAAGAGTTGGTAATCTCCCATTGGTCATAACTCGGGTCAGTTGAGCTGGGTGCCTGTATCCTGCTATCCACATACCCCATCTTCCCTCTGCTCTTCAAAAACATAGTCGAACTTTGCTACCACGCGAGATAGTTTTGACCATTAAATAGAGAGGTGGTGATTTTAAGACTAGGGTTGGGGTTATCAGTTATAGTAGAAGGTATAGGGAAACTCTCACTCCTAGGTTTTTGAGAAGTAGTGGACACACCAGTAGAATCTGCCATAGATATTGTACTACCAAACCCGCAACAAAACTAGTGCCAATCACAAACCCAGAAGGTGGTGGTGGAAGGGGAAAAACAAACAACCACTATGACAGTAAAGAATTAACAATTCGTACTTTTTTTTTTTAAACTTTAAACAAAAAAAATAAAAATGAAACCAAACAGAGATGAGGGTTATATAAAGTGACTGGGGTTATAGAAACACAAACATGGGTTATATAAGCAGACAAAACTCAAGAGAGAGAGAGAGAGAGACAGACGAGGAACACGACAGGATACTAGGGGTAAGAGTAGGAGTCGAGCAGAGGAAGAGGCGAGGCAGAGTGGCGGAAGGGGCAAGGCGGCTGAAGCCAACGAAGGCTGAGGAGCCGTATGGGTAGAGGAAATTAGGGTTTAGGATTAGGCTCTGATACTATGTTATTTTTAGGGAATACAATATTAGAGAATGATTAGGATATCATCCCCTATTTATATTAATGAAGATTAATAATTACAAGAAACCCCTAAGGCATAAAATAATTATAAAATAATAACCCAAATCATAATATATTTTTCTAACTCAATATAATGTGTAGTGGTAATGATCTCATGTAAAAATGCACTTTATGCTTGGTATTAAGTTCTTAGAATCAATTTTCTGAATTTTTTTCAAAAATTAGTTTGATGATAAAAAAATCATAGTTTTTATATAATTTTTACCTTTTTCTTTCCAGCATAAATAATTTTAAAAATTTTAAAAAAATATTTTTGTGTTTATTTTTGTCAAACTATGTTCTAATTTTATTAGAAGAATTTCAAAAAATGAGTTCTAAAAACTCAACCAAATAAAATGCTTCAATGGTTAGCAATTAGGGATGGCAATGGGGCGGGGGTGGGGTAGGGCAGAGATTGTAGTGTTTTGCCCCCATCCCAAATCATATTGGAGGAGGGGCTAATCTAGGTAGTAGGGATGGGGACAAGTTAATTTTTTAGGAGTAAATTATACTAACACTTCTTGTATAATATCGAATCATACTGTCACCCCCTTGTATTTTTTAAAATTAGACCAACACCCTCCTGCCAGGTAACACTGTTTAGCAAAGTGCTGAAGTATCTACAATACATTTGTTTGATATTCTAATTTTTAGCCGAAGAAGAGAGAAAAAAGAGGTGAGAAAGAGATACATCTCACAACAACGTCATAGTAACTTCCTCTATAGTTGCCTATTCTTTCCATGGTTGCTTCCTCCACAACAGCCCCACCCCTTTCTTTCCATCTCTCCTCTAACCACCCCGGTCAGCCTCTCCTTTCGTAGTTGTTTCCCCCATAGCAGACCCAACCCTTCTTCTTCCTCTCTTTTTATTCCCATCTTCTCTCCTCTAACCACCCTAGCGAACCTCCAGTGGTGCTAAAACAGTTGGTTTCAAGTGCATGTTCAATGTGAAATACCTTTCGGATGGTGTGGATCAGTATAAGGCTTGGCTTGTTGCCAAAGGTTTCACTCATGTTCCTGGCTAAGACTTTGGTGCCACTTTTGCTCCTGTTGCTAAATTGACCTCTATGTATCTTGTGGTTTCTTTGGTTGTTGCTCTCATGGCCCCTTCATCAAGAATGCCTTTCTTCATGCTGACTTGCTTGAAACTATCTATATGGATCCTCCACCAGATTTTTAGGCTAAGGATGAGTATATGGGGAAGGTGCGTCACCTACGCAAGTCACTTTATAGCCTAAAGCAATCCCCTCGGGCTTGGTTCAGTCGATTTAGTTTTGTTTTTTTATGGATGAACTTTGTTTAGTGCCTCTCGGATTGTACATGTTTCATTCGTCATCGGCCTAGTGGTTGTACTATTTTGTTAGTTATGTGGATGATATTATTTTACTAGGGATGATGCTTCTGGTATTACTCAGGTGAAACAGGAGCTAGGCAGAACATTTGATATTAAGGATTTGGGTCCTCTCAAATATTTTTTAGGTATTGAGGTTGCCCGGTCTCGTTGATGGATATCTTTGTCTCAGCAGAAGTGTATTAAGACTTTTTTTAGAACATTGGAATGCTAGGTTGTAAACCTGCCTTTACCTCTATGGAACCAAACCTTACGCTTTCAACTGAGTTTGGGGACTTATTGATTCGGCTGATATACCTGACTAGTACAAAACCAGACTTGACATTTGCAGTGAATGTAGTCATTCAGTTTATGCATGCATCTCGCACTACTCATCTTGATGCTGTCTATTACATTTTGAGATATCTCAAGACTTGTCCAAGGTTGGGTTTATTCTTCTTAGTTGGTACCCAAACTAGCGTCTCTTGTTTACAGATGTTGATTATGCTGGGTCAAAGACTTACAAACATACGACAACAGGCGTTTGTACTTTCTATGGTATTCATCTTCTATCGTAGAAAAAGTAAGAAGCAAGCAGTTGTCTCTAAATCTTCAGCTAAGGCTAAGTATTAAGCTATTGCTCAGGGCACTTGTGAACTTCTGTGGCTTCGGTCTATACTTTTGGAATTGGGCTTTGGGGAGAAAGATTCTTGTCAGTTGTTTTATGATAACAAGTTTGCTGTCATGCTTGCTTCTGATTCAGTTCATCATGAGAAAACTAAACACATTGAGGTGGATGTTCACTTTACTCGGGAGAAGGTTTGAACAGGCTGTGTGACTCCATCATTTATCTCTTCATCGAAACAGACAGAAGATATGTTTACTAAGTCTGTCCGTTTCTGTCCCCATCTGCCCCAAACAGGATAGTGCAGTGACCGGCCAATAGTCATGGACTACCAAAGTCCTAACTTACAAAACAGGTTGGACTCGTGTTAATTGGGTCAAATTTTTTGTATTTTGAGTTGCAGAAGCCATTAATTTCTTTTGTTGAGTCCATTAAGTCCATTTAAAACATCCATTCAGAGTAGTGCATAACTATATGAAACAAAACATAGATCATTCTAGATTACATTATTTAATTCTTTTACAAGGAGTACAATTTTTCAGAAAGAACATTTCTTCCAAGGCTAAGTACAATCTCCTTTCTGGTTAATTTACGACTCTAAACCAAATAGTCAAAACATCTTCTCTTCTCTCTCTCTTCCTCTCTAACCCTTACCCTAATCTTCACCTATTTTACATTCTAACTAGCTAAAATTATGTGATTGTATCTTTGCTTTATTTTGGTTATTTCTTATTTTGTAATTATTCTTTCACTATAAATATTCAAGGCTGGTCATCAAATTGATTAAGCCAAATTATACCAATTCTTCTAGATCTGAACCCAATAAACCATTTAATTAATTTTTGAATTACTCCAAATTAAAATTAAATATTTTTTTACGAATGTACCCAGCCGTACTTGTACTCTAATTTTATTTTATTTTATGATTTTACCGTATTGACGTACCTGTATCGTACCAGTATCAGTGTTCATACTTGTACATGTGCTTCATAGCCTACACATGATAGATAAAATACACAATAAATTTCTCATACTCAAAAAACTGCAATATTCGTAACATCTACTTCATTCCCCCGCCTAGGCCGCAAGAGACCTTGGTGCCTCAGTGCACCTCTCACCTTCAATCATTGTATCTGACACTTAGAAGCACCGACACTTCTAAGAAAGTGGCTTATCCAACCTTTCTTGAACCCCAAATCATCTCCTAACCTATCAAGCAATGACCTATAGAGCCTATGTACAACATCATATGTATATGTATATATGAGATAATGTGTATATATATAAGGGTATTCCCATGTTGGCTCCTAACATTGGTAATTGAGGGGGTGCCAGGAGTAATACGTGAGATGCACCTAATCTTTGGCATTATTCACAGGAAGTGACTGCTTTCAGACTCAATTCCATGTTTTCATGCTTGGCAGCCCCAACTTTTACCATTGCTCCTAGGAATGCCCCTTTTTAATGTAATATAGTATATGAAATATAACATAATCTAATTTTTATGACATAGTTTTTTTAGTAGATGATGCTTTTCTGATCACATATAACATGGCGCTGTTCACTATAAATAATGCAATCCATTGACTATATGCAAATGGGGAATGCTCTATATGTTGAACAGAGATCTTTAAGCCTAGGTATTGATGGATTCTAATAATTGTGTTTCAGTTAGATTGATCAAACACCATTCTGGTCTAACAGGTAAAATGGTAATATAGGTTTTTTTTTTAAAAGCACGGGAATTTGTTGGCCATTCTAATGTCTGTGTAGTTAATAGACTTAATATTCCAAGCTTTACCACTTAAAGTAGGAATTTGTAAATATTCATGTTTTTGACAGCAGGCTTTTAGACCAAAGAATAGACAAATTGGTAATTTGCTTTTTTGTTGGTTTTGGATGACTATTGATTTTACAAGAACTGATCAGTGAGTTCAACATTAAGATATTTTCTGATTTTTCCTTTTGCAGCTTTTATTAACTGTGAAGCTATCTTCTGATCTTTCATATGCTGAAAATGGGATTATAGTTCTGTCATTCACTCTTAAATAGATTGCATAATACGAAATTGTTTTATACTTTCAATGGGGTTTATTTGATGGATGAAACTTGGTGCTGTTAAAATTACTAGTCATTTGTTTTTGTTTTTGTTTTTCTTATCAGGAGAGAAGATTTGCTGTCTTGGCATCTTCACTTCTTTCAAGCCAAACTAAGGATAATGTTACTCATGGCAAGTTTAAATATTAGTCTTGGAGTCATTATTTATTATTATTGTTATTATTATTAGGGCTTCAAACTGTCTTAGTATTGCAGATTGTGGTTACAGTATGTGGTGGCAGTTTACTCCTGGTTTTATTCTTCAACCTAATAACTAAATGATCATTAAATTGCATTTCCTTGGATCCTCTGTGCAGCCAATATAGTTGCATCAAATCATTCTCAGGACTAAAGAAAAAGACGTGGTGGATTATGCTGTCCCATAATCGGTGGTGGTTAATTGAGATTCTATAGCTCAATCTAATCATTATTCAAATTTCAGTATCAATGGTACTATTTTTGTAGGTTAACAGGCTTGCTACCTAAGATTTAAGATTAATTAATGGGGAAAAGCAAAAATCTTATTACTGAATATTACTAGAAGTAACGGCAATGTGTTTACTGATAAATCGGAAAGACTACTACCAGATCTATTTGGTTGCCTCTTAGGCACTCGAAATGAGTTGGCATTGAATGGCCACAGAAGCATCCAAAACTGCTAAGCTGTTTCTTATTCTCATTTCTCAACTTTGTATGATAAAACTGTGAGGAAGTGTTTGATTCAAAGGCGAACAAGCTCTGTATAAAACGTACTAGTTATGTTGACATCATGTACACCATCTAATCTGATGAATATTATACTCCAGTTGTTGCTTTACATTACTTTCCAGTTGCTTTTCTCAGCATTTACAATTTCTCGTTAAGGTCTTTTGCTAGTGCAGGAGCTATTCAGCGTCTCATTCAAAATGGTCTGCTTACTCCAGATGCTATTGACAAGGTTGATGAAGCCATCATCAGTAGTTTGATTTACCCAGTATGTTTGTCCGAAGTCACTTGATGATGAGTGTAAAAGTCGTCTGTTTTTCCTGTTTAACTTCAAACTCTGATACATACTTATAGTGAAGCATTGTCAATAAAAGCATTTAACTTCCAGCAATTTTATGCCGTATTTCCATTTAAGTTTGTTTTCTTTACTTGGAAATGCTGTGTCACTTTTTTCTTTTGTCAGGTTGGATTTTACCCAAAAAAGGCTATCAATTTGAAGAAAATTGCAAAAATATGTCTAACGAAGTACGATGGAGACATTCCGAGTACATTGGAGGAGTTACTCCTGCTCCCAGGGATTGGTCCGAAGATGGCTCATCTGGTAGGGCTGAATAATATTGTTCTTGGAAAACTTCACTTTGCCCTGTGTGACATTCTGAAATAAGCACATACTTTGTTGTTTATGGACTAAACGCACCACTCACGTTGTTAACTCCAAAAACGTGAAGACCATTATACCCCCATATATATAGGGATTGTTTCTTTGTTCTTTTGCAACTTCTTCAACCTATTTTCTCCCTTCTTCAAGAAACCGACCCGCTCACCACCACCACAACACACAACACCACACTCACTCTCCCACTAGCACCACACACACAACACCAGCCACCACCACCACAAACATACAACACCCTCAAAGCAGCCTTAAAAAAAATAACCAATTTTTTTTTTTTTTTTGAAATTAAACCCAGATTCAACCCTGTAGCATCTAACCACACCCGTACACAACCCCACACGGTTGTGATTGTATAGAAGAATGTGTATCTTAAGTATATATATTATATCTATATAAGAATGTGAATATATATATATATGTATAAAAAAATGTTTAGTCCCCATTGGATGGTGGCTAGGAGGGGTAGATCAAGTTCAAGCTTAGTTGGCTGATTTTAACTTTTGAACCAGTGGTTCCCTGTTGCGTATATATATGTAAATGCTCAAATTTTAAGGAAACAATAAAATATGTAGCCACACCCAATTTTATATGTAGATCCTTCCAATCTTATGTATAATCAATAAAATAATCCCAGATCAAACAAATATATATATATATGTATAAAAAAATGTTTAGTCCCCATTGGATGGTGGCTAGGAGGGGTAGATCAAGTTCAAGCCTACAACCTTAGTTGGCTGATTTTAACTTTTGAACTAGTGGTTCCCTGTTGCGTATATATATGTAAATGCTCAAATTTTAAGGAAACAATAAAATATGTAGCCACACCCAATTTTATATGTAGATCCTTCCAATCTTATGTATAATCAATAAAATAATCCCAGATCAAACAATCAAGCTGATTTCAGCCAGGAGGGAAATGAGTGCCAAGCTTCATTTATGTTCCTTTATTTTTGGTGTGGGGCTGCCATCTTGGTGGTGACGGTGGTGGTGGGGAGGGATGGGTTTGGGGGTAGAGACGGGGAAGTGAGGGTGTGCGTGGCCCTACCGCCACATGGAGGGAAGGGGCTGGGAAAGTGGGGGGCCGAGGGATGGGGGTGACCGTGATGTCAAGGGAGGAGGGAGGAAGAAGAGTAAAGGGAGAAGAACAAGAAGAAAATGACATTTTTGTAATTTTGAAGAATTTTAAAGGTATTTTTTCTAAAAAAATAGTTGTATTCATGTTCATGCTCAACCATGGTGCGTGAGTTAACGTCCAGTTAATTTGGATGAAAATTGTGACGGTGTGTTTAGTTTTTTGGGTAATTGCAGTGCGTTTAGTCCATAAACACAGATAGTTATGTGCTTATTTTCTTATGTTATGGGGTAGTAATCCACACATTGACAATACCACGGGGTAAATTGAAGTTCTGCTAATTGCTTTCCATTAATTTGCTAGGTGGGTTTTATGATAATTGGCTGTGGGTTGGTGTAGGTTATGAATGTGGCATGGAACAATGTTCAAGGGATATGTGTAGATACTCACGTGCATCGTATCTGCAATAGACTTGGGTGGGTGTCACGGCCAGGCACAAAACAGGTGCATACTCCTAATTACATGATCACATCAAATGTAGTAGATAAAGTTCTTATATTTTCTGAACTCTACAAAATTTGACTTTGACATTTCGAGATTGAATTATTTCTTCTACAATTCTCAATGTTATACATTTTAAAATTTTTTAAGTTAATGTTTTCTGTCTGATTTTGATCAGGACAGAAGTTGATGTCAAAAACCAATAGATGGACATTGGTTAAAAAACTTCGGTGGCAGAAAAACTAGATACATCTTGCTTGTATAGTAAATTAGCTAAGCTTTATTCAAAGTATCCGTCTTTTTTACTGCGGATAACCATTGGCTCAATCAAATCTAAACAAGTAGAAGCATTTAAATAGATGATGAAGGTTGAGGAGGGGGGAGGGGGGTTCACAGTGTTTCTGTATCAGGCTTTTTTGCGCCATTACTGGGATCATGTTTGTCCTTATCCTCAACCTAGTGAAGGTTAAAAAGCACACAATAGTACCAAAATGGTTTGCTGCAAAATTGGATAACCAGTATGCGTTTCTGTTTCTTGTTCTCTCACATATTGTTTTTATCCTTCCCCAACATAAATGTGTTAGATTATCGTCCTTGTTAATACAGCGGTAAATCTACTTGTGAATATCCTGATTTTTATTTCAGTCTGTCACTGAAAATGGTTCACTGCTTCTCTGTATGCCTAAACCATTTTATAGTTAAGTCAATTGTTACCCATTTTACTGATCTATCACCAAACTAATGATATGGGTTCACTTGTTAACCTTTGTTATGATGTTATTAACTTATTGTTAACTGAGTAGATTCCTAATCAAACAAAAAAAAAAAAAATAAAAAAATAAAAAAAAATAATGACATGTAAACTAAATATGATGAATTCATACGTTCTGATTTTGATGAACTCAAATGTGATAAATTGATTTATAAGGGCTGCTGATAGCCATACAAAACACATGCTTATGATGGATGACATCGGAATACTGATTAGTTCTTTTGTTCTTTGTCAGAAAACTTCATCTCCTGAGGAGACGAGAGAGTTGTTGCAACTATGGCTTCCAAAGGAAGAATGGGTTCCAATTAACCCTCTTTTGGTATGTGTAGCTCAGTCTTCCTACTACATGCTTAAACATGCAAACGCATACTTGCATATGCTGTGGTCTGTTGGACAATGAATCCTCAGTCTGCCATTGCCATTGTCTATTCTGCTATATTATAGTAAGGTGGATCTTACTTTATAAACTGCGTTCTGTTACTGTGGGTTTGAATGAAACAGGTGGGATTTGGACAGACAGTGTGTACTCCTCTTAGACCTCGGTGTACAATTTGCAGTGTAAGTGATTTATGCCCATCTGCATTTAAAGAGACCTCTAGTTCATCATCTAAGGCAAAGACATCTGATCAAAACAAGAATCGATGATGTAATTGCATTTGAAGACCAAGGCCATATTCTTTCTTTGATCAACCTTGTTGCATAATGGTAGTAAAGTTGTTTTGTTGGTGTAGAAGAAATCGTGTAGCCCCTATATTTTTTGGTGAATGGTATGGCATGGCATTATAAGCAATTATAATAGTTAAAGGTGCTAAAACTCTGAGATTTCTAGTTTATGACACAAAACATTGTAATGTGTAATCAAAATATCAAAGTTAGACGGCAATGATGCAACATTCTGGTAAATTTATGTTTACTGATGTGATCTCTCTAGTTCGTTGTAAGAGTCAGCTTGAAGGGGCATTTGACATGGCTGGGTGGGTAAATGAATTTCAGGTGCGTGGCCCTACCGCCACATGTATGGTTCTTTGTTGTGTTCATCTGCCAACGAACATCTAATGTATTATCCTTGATTTTATTTATTTATAAACCAAGCTGTGACTAAGATTGTCACCACCCATCCACCCCAAACAAAGATAGGGTAGTGATCGGCCAATAGCCGTATACTACTAAAGGTTCAACTATACAATTAACATCCATTCAATGCAAGTGTGTAGATAGATGAAATGAACACAAACTAATGCTTTATTTATTATTACAATCTTCACTTAGTCACAACAGAGTACAATTTAAAATAAAATTACTATACATCTCAGTTGCCAAACTAACTATATACAAAGCACTGTTTTGAAAATTGGAGTGGACCAGCAGATTTGATTGGTCCAAGTTTCGATCCGATTAGACCCTCAAACTCGTTCAAGCTCAAAAATAGTCCTTTTTTTCAAAAAATTGAGATTACTTATACCGGAACCAGCCGGACTTACCACATAAGTTAAAGTTTTGAAAAATGTAGTGCCCGCTTTATTTATTATTACAATCTTCACTTAGTCACAACAGAGTACAATTTAAAATAAAATTACTATACATCTCAGTTGCCAAACTAACTATATACAAAGCACTGTTTTGAAAATTGGAGTGGACCAGCCGATTTGATTGGTCCAAGTTTCGATCCGATTAGACCCTCAAAACTCGTTCAAGCTCAAAAATAGTCCTTTTTTCAAAAAATTGAGATTACTTATACCGGAACCAGCCGGACTTACCACATAAGTTAAAGTTTAGAAAAATGTAGTGCCCAAGAACACAAGACCTCAATAATAAGAACCTTATTGCTTACCACTAAGCCAGCAATACCCCTTATTGAAAAGTTAGTAGATATAACTAATTATTATATTTTAATAATTTTCTTTAATATACTAATATAATTGACATTTTTACAAATAGTATCAATAAAAAAAAAATAAATGTATAAACAAATATAATTCATAAATATATTTAATACCTATTTTTATATGTTTATTACATAATTATGAGATCATTGGGTTGAACCAGTAACTTGTCCACCTGATTCTTTTTCGATTTGTTCACCGGTTTGATTTTAACAACTTTGATTCAAAGAATCATTACAAAACATTTCTCCGAAAGAGAAGGCAAGACATGCTGGTCTTTCACGTCACGTACACATATACACAAAGATGACACAGTCCTTGTTCACTTTTGTCACCTACATATATATAGGGAGGTGTAGGCACCTCATTTTGATTGATCCTAAGATTTTAGGAGCTTTCCGATGATGAAATAGTAATTACTTTCATCTTTGGAATATTTGAGGTTGTTTAGAGTAGTTGTGTAATCGCGTTTTAGCAAAAAAATTGGCTTTTTTTAGAAAATGATTATTTTATCCTTGAACTTGTTTTCAAGCCAAAAATTAACTTTTTGACCTTGAGAGAGAGGGAAGCTCGGTTGTATCTTTGATTAATGACATTTTCTAAAATTAGTGACTGATTTTATAAAAAACATTGATTGAGAGGCAATTTGGGTTTACTTGGGCCACAAGCAAGCTAAGGGCATGGGATCCCGCACTTGTGCATGCATGGGTGGCATGAATACCAAGCCAACTTGAGCGCATGCATGTGAGTTGTACAAACGCACATCCATTCGTGTTGTTTTGAAAACTTAATCTTGGTGCAATTCTGAAGGGAGGCGGCAAGAGGAAGTGAAGAGGGAGACTTAGGATGACCTAGGGTGTTCCCCAAGGCTCCTCATTGCCTATAAATAAGCACTATCCCCCTCTTTCAAGAGGTTGAACTCTTGAGCCATTTTTGTGAGCTTTTAAGCAAAAATATTTGCCTCCTCTTTCCCCATTGCCTTAGCTCCGAAAATACACCCTCCTACAGTAACTTTTAACAACTAAAAATCATCGAAGACTTGAAGAGCTTGAATTAAATCATAAACTTAAACTTGAAGGAGGTTTGGAAGCAATAAAACTTGGTTTTCTTGCCTTTTCTTCGCGTGCTTTTCGGTTTAATCAAACCAGCAAGTAAAACTCACTTCTCTAATTAATTTCAATAGCTTTTCCATTCTATTTTCAACATGTAATCATAGTTAGGTGTTAGTTCATCGTATCATCATGTTGGGTGTTAGCTTTGTTAAGTTTTTTTTGCCTATTTTCACTTATTTTATTTTTTCTTCTTAAAAACAACATGTTTAGGCTAATTTAATCATGTAGAAATCATGCGTTAAGCCCAATTTGAAACATCATGTCTTTAGCATATTTTTGCTTTTTTATTTGTTAGTTGCCCTTCATGCATAATCATGTTAGGAGCCTTAAACCGGGCTTAGGGCCATTATTTAGTTGTATATTAGGATCGTGTTTATTTTATGTAATGCATGTAAGGCGCTTGAAAGGGCATCTGGGTAAGTTTCATCTTCATAGCATGTGTTTGCTTGGTGCATTGTCTTTTTCAATAAATCAAGTGAAATATTTTTCTATGCAAAATTGGTTGTTTTGAGTGTTTTTATAAATATTGTTTATTTTAATTTGAGTTTATGGCCATGGATCATTAAAAACTATTTTTATTGGAAAATTATTGTCTTTGAAAAAATATGACTTTATTCTTTTAATCTAAAATAAATTATATTTATTTTACTCAAATCAACTAGTTTTAGGATTAGTTAAAAGTTTTAAGGTAATAATGAATTTTTATGAAATTATTAATTTCTAAAATTATAAAATAGAATATTAGTATAGGCCAATCTTTGATTGGAAAAAATGGGTGCATCATTTAATGAAATCCCCCTTTTGTGAATTAGTTCCCAAACCAGAAATTCTCTGATCGTGATGGATCAGGTCTTGCATTTAGTTTTCATTGTTAAAAGTTTCTTAATTTCTCATAAAATTAAGTGGCGACTCTATCGATATGGGAAAGCGAGTTGGCACAACATTGGGTGGAAACGGGCCTTATACCCAAAAAGCATAGCATCCAAGGTGGTACAAGAGGTATATTAATAGACATAGTTAATGTACCCTTTGACTAAACCTACCATTTCCATATGGAAAGTTTTGGCACCTTTTAAAATAGGACAAGAAACTTCCCTTTTCAGGATTGTATTTGTGACAACCCCAGACCGTATTTTATTTTTATATTTTATTTTGTGTGAGTTTAGTTGCTTAATTATGTGATTATTGGTGTGTATATTTGTTAGTGCGTGGAATAACCGTCTGAAAACCAACATGGATAAAAATTGAAAGCCTAAACAGTTTCAGAAACCGAAATTTACTGGCCCAATAGGTTAAGTGATTAGAATTCAAAATAATTAGAATAATTGATTAGAATTCATTAGAATTAAGTGGGATTAATTAGCCCTAACTAATCTTAATTAACTTAAGATAATTACCTATATATATATGAGCTACATAAGCTCAAATAGATTCAAATACATGATTTGGCTGAGATTTAGAGAAATGAAGAGGAAGAACTCAACACCTTAGAATGAGAAAGGAGATTTTGAAGGGGATTTGGAGAAGACTTGGAGAATTAAGCTACGATACACTTGAATTCACATTCTAGGTAGACGTCTGAGGTCTAGTGAGGATATAACCCACTGTAAGTAGTAACTTTACAAAGATATGTTCAAACTATATTTACTTTCGAAATTTTTATATGATTGGTTTATTGGAATGTTGTTTTCCTTTGATGAATGAAGTTCTCTTTTGAATTGTATTCGTGACATCCAATAGTGAGGCCCTTGCCTAGAGAAAACAATACCATTGCCCATTGATTAATAGGCCCTTGCTTGGGGGAAACAATACCATGGCCCATTGGCCCTTGCACGGGAAAAACAATACTATGGCCCATTAGATTAATTCAAACACAAAGATCTCTAAAGTCTATCCTAAAGTTATTGCAAAAAGCTATCCTAATCCAAAAAGTCTATCCTAAAGTATTGCATATCTACTTTGTTGAAATTTACAACACCAATACGGCCAAAAACTTAAACTTTCACAAAAGTCTACAAACTAATAAATACAAAGACCAGAAAGTCTTTGGAAACATAAATGAAAAACTACAATTATTTGCCATCTTTTGACAAACTACAATTATATACACTATCTACCCATCCCGTTGTTCAAAGAGATAGACTGAAATAGATAAGATTTGGTTGATCTTATTTGTCATGTAGCGTCGGCTGAAAGGATTTGTCAAACCACTTTCTGCCTAATAATGCAGGTTGTTTCACGTGTCCTAGATAAGGTTGGAGTCGATCATGAGACAACTGCATGTGATAGTGGGGTCCACTATGCTTCCATCCTATTTGCGAGATTTGGTATTTTTCATCAGTCTCTAGTAGAGGGGAATCAGGATCTTGGTTGTATCGCTCATTCCGAAATTGTTTTACATCATCCGCGGTCATGGCTAGTTCCAACGGAAGATCCAAATTGTTTCTCTTTTTGAGATTTAATAACATGTCAAAAGCCTCATTAATTTGTGTAGGAGACCTTTGATATGTTATGGGAAAATGAGTTACAAATAGTATTCTACCGTCTGTGACCATGAATGGCAACTTTGCTGAGTCATGGATTTTAGAAGCTGCTTGTGAAACAATTATTAGACTATCTATCCAATATTCTGTTAAAGGCAGTTTTTGAATATTTTCCAATCTCCCCCTCTGGTGATCTTCATTCAAATAGTCATCCTCAAATTCGAAATCTTCGGTTTCTTTAAGATACCAAATTTGATATGGTTGGAAAAAATGTTCTCATTCTCGCCAACCGATTGTGCTGGATGTAACACCTTGAAAATTGGGCAAAGTATATCTATTTATGCAACAAAACCCACCTGATAGACAAACACATATATATAGCTAACTATTCCATACATCCATTTCCATTAAATCCCAAATGCCAAATACATGCTGTTCACATCTCAATGTCC